AAGGCTTTTCTGGGACAGTTTTGACATTGATATTGCCAACATATCACAGCATGAAGCATGGCACTATAACTTCCAGTGAAAGATGGCATATGGATGTGTATTCATTTGTACAATGTGTAATCATTGATAGGATAAGACATACAGCAAAAATTTGAAAGAGTTCATTAAAGTGCGCAGTGTGTAAATCGCCAAATGTGACAATTAAATCCAAAATGGCAGACTTCCCGTTGGTTGTTGACCCTCCTGGCATGTGTTCAAAGTTCAAACAATGAGATGTACTGTGAGAAAATTTCCTTACTTCACTATTGGATTTAACATACTGTGACCAGGATTTGAACCCTTAATTTGAACTTATCCACTGTACTACTGAGATAGACTGGTTAAATACTGATGGCACACCACTGTTTAGCTTATATATTTTATTTGAGGTCCAATCCACTGTCGAATAAAATATGTAGAGCTATCAACTATTTTAAAGAAACACTGACAATCACATGACATTGATTGCTTTTAGAAAGACAAAGATACAAATTAAAAACGCCAAGATGTACAATTTGAAGTTGAAACAAAGTTTCTAGGACAAGCACTGCAGGAGAAGAGCGAAGATAACAAGAGTAATAAAACTAATTAAAATAGCCTAAAAAAAGTCTGGGTAACTGGTGGAGCCAATGGGCTGGCACTAGCTGTCACTTGGGTGGGCCCTGACCACAGAAGCCCTCCCATGGCTATGGGCCTGCACAGTGCTAACAGCACTCAGTCTCTCTCACCTTGAAGTTTGTTGCCCAGTTATTGTTGATGACCATACAGAGCCCACCCTAATTGACTTCTGGGATTTCTTTGCGTCTCTGTCAAAGCATCTAATGTAAAACCATCCACTGCTTGTTTGTGCATCTTAGTCACACTCTCTGTGGTAAACCATTGTAAAAATGATTTGTAGACAAATACAAAGTGATCCACAAACACAGATTTGACACTTGAATTCTGAGCTTTTCACAGAATTTGTACGAATGTCTTAGAACAGTGGTTTGAAAATAAACGGGTGGCGACATCCATCATTATGTCCCTGAGCAAGACATTTAACCCCTACTTGCTCCAGAGGCGTGCAACCTCTGACAGATAATGACCCCAAAAAATTGCTTTGGATAAAAGCATCAGCTAAATGACATCTAATCTTCAAAATCAAAATACAAGTTAGTGTGGTAAATTGAGTTTGCAAATTGTTGATTTTTTTTTTAAACAGAGAAAGAGTAGTGTCAGAATTCTGTGAAAAATTGCAAAACAGTCTACCAGTAGAACATGACCCTCACATGCAGACAAATCATTTTGCATGGATTCAAGTTCTGGTTTCAGAAAACTACAGGTCGATGATTCCTATTTGTAGATCATGATTTATGTTTACAGATTGGAAAATATGTTTGTGACTCATAGTTATCTGTGTGACCTCACAGTTTCCCAGCATGCCTCAGCTGTGGAGCTGTATGAGGGGGAGGAGTTTGTCCTGCTGCCCTGTGAGTTTCTCACCTTTGACCTGGACGACCCCACAGCGGTGTGGAGCCGCTACGATCTTGATCCTCCAACCGTCCACCAGCGTCAGCAGGAAGGTGATGAACTTAAAGACCAAAACCAGCTTTACAGCGGCCGAACATCCATGATGACTGACGCTCTGGAAACTGGAGACCTCAGCCTTAACCTAACAAAACTCCAGCTCTCTGACAGCGGCAGCTACACCTGCACCGTCAGAGCAGCAGGAGGACAATGGAGAGTGACAGAGATACAGCTGCAGGTCAAAGGTCAGCAACAAACCCTAACAGCTGCTGTAGATACAGGTCAGAGGTCAGAGGTCATGTTCTTTATGTTTCTGGTTCCCACAGAACGATTTCCATCCTGGGCCAAAGTTCTCCTGGTTCTCCTGGTTCTCCTGGTTGTTGCTGGGTGTCTTTTGGTACATTTCCGGCAGTATTTCATGTCAGGTATGTTATGACTACTACACTTAAAACAACTGAACCCCTGTGACAGTGGAATCTGTAGATGTAGAAAATAGTCTCAGTTGCTTCAGTGATATTGAATTAGATTAGATTAAACCACACCCACGTCAATGTGATGACAGCCTCAATGTATGACAGCTACATTAGCTTGGAAAAAGCTTGGAAGAGTTAGTTATTTTCACTATTTATTATTTATTTAGTGTGAGAGCTGTAGTAGCTCTTTATTACTGTGAGAGCTGTAGTAGCTCTTTATTACTGTGAGAGCTGTAGCTCTCACACTTTCGTTCTCTTCCCTCTTTATTATTTACAGTATTTATTTACACTGGTGTGCCAGGAATGTTTGGTCATTGAGCGCCCTCTGTTGGTGCTTTAGAGGCATTTCATGTACATGAAAACCACAGCAAATAGAGAAAGTCAAAATCAGCAGTGTACCAGCGTGTCTGAGCAGCGCTGTGGTTTAGTGCTTTCCCTGCCATCCTCAAGGTTGGTGGTTCAAATCCAGGGAATGGCATGTTGACTTCAACACTCAACTGAAGAAGGTTCTGTGAATACATTTCATTATTGACGGCCTTAACGTTCTTGAAAACTTTGAACACACACCAAGAGGGTCAAAAACCAAAACGAAGAAAGTGGCGATTTACACACTCGGCACTTAAACTTATCCTAGGAATTAGTTTAGTCTAGAAATTTTTGCTGTGCAATCTTATCCCATCAATGATCACATGTTGTACAAATGGTGAGTTTTGGTTGACCGGGGAAGTCCGTGGTGTAGAGTGGAATTTCAGTGATTCGCCACAAAGCAGGAAGTTGTTGAAACTACATGCTCACATCTGTACCAAATTTGACAGTCCCACATTTATACATCCATATGCCAACATTCACTCACAGTCATATTGCTATATGTCACGCTGTCTGAGCAGGGCCCAGTGAGAGGAGCTGGTTAGCTCGGTGTGCAGCCTGTCGCCTGCAGCTCTTTATCTAACAGCTCAATGTGGCTTCTCCGGACTCTTTTCTTCTTGTTTTGTAGATGCGTTGATGATAGTGTCAGTGCTAATCTCATTGACAAACACATAGCATTTCCTGACTACTTCAAAGTAAAAGTCAATAAGTGTTTCACCAGTTAAATGCTTTTAATGTGAAGCTGCAGCAGCAGGAAATGTTCGCTTTGCATTAGCAGCAACTTAATACTGCAGTTTTTCACTTGGTAATACTGCAGATTGTAAATACTGCAGTACTTTGATCAGTGGGCCACAGGCTCAGTCAGCACTGTGTTACCTTATTAGACGATAGACAGTGACTGAACAGACATTTATTTAATGAAAACCTTCAGATTCTAACTTTAATAAAGATTTGATTGAGTCCATCTGACAATAATACTCAGTGATTTAATAAACAGTCAGTTGTGCTGTTGATTGTAGAGACACCAAAGACAACACTGTCTCTGTTAGATGGAACAATGGGACATATTTCAGAGTTCCTGCTGCTGTCTGTACAGCTGATGTTGTGCTTTGTTGTCCTCTCAGTCTACCAGGTGGAGGTGGAGGAGGGGGTGGAGTCTGTCCTGCTGCCCTGCAAAACCACAGTTCACCTGCCTGAAGACGTAACAGTGGAGTGGAGGGACAGTTCAGTCTTCAACAGGAAGGTCCACGTATATAAGAACGGCTCTGACCAGCCTGAAGAACAGGACGATCTTTACAGAGACCGAACAGAGATGAAGAGAAACCTGCAGAGACCTGGAGACCTCAGTCTGACCCTGAAATACCCCAAACAAGACAGTAACACCTACACCTGCACCGTCTACAGCAGGGAGAGACACATCCTGATGGAGAAACAAGTGGAGCTCGAAGTCAAAGGTCAGTGGTGTAGATACAGGTGAGAGACATATATTGATCAGCTACAACATTTCACATTCACAATGTATCAGTCAAAAGAGGAAATGACATCATACTAGGAAACCAGAATAATCCAGGAGATCATTTCCATGGATGGAAAGAATGAGATCAATAAGTTATTGATTTCCAGTATTGATCAAGAAGAAAGCTGAAAGAAACCAAATGTGTTGATCACTCAGAACAAAGAAATGCAGCTTTAATAGTTTGGATCAATGAAAGATTGATGCTCAGTTCTCTTCACATCATGTTGAAGCCGTTTGGAAAGAAAAGTGGGCTCAGAGTCGGCAGAAGAAAAGGCCAAATATTGATGAAGCAGGAAGAGCAGTTTGGGATCAGATCCAGATCAGATGTTTGTGTGTCTCGGTGTTCTGGACTGATGTTGAACATGTGGAGCTGAGATTCATTTACAGAACAGAGATGAAAACATTTGAAAGCTTCTTCTCTTCAAAGTTCAGCTTTAGATCCAGAAATGTAAAAGTCCAGCAGCTCAACACTGACAGGAGACATTACTGTGAAGCAGCACATGGACAAAACAATCCCAGCAGCATCAAGACTCTGATCATCTCCAACAGCTTCCTGTGTTTCTGTCCCCTGTTAGCTGCTGCTCTCATCTGCTTCTGTCAATAAAGTTATTCAAACTGCTGCTGCTGTCTGTGCAGCTCATGTTCTGCTTTGTTGTCCTCTCAGTCTGTCAGGTGGAGGTGGAGGAGGGGGCGGAGTCTGTCCTGCTGCCCTGCAAGACCACAGAGAACCTGCCTCAGGACATTAGAGTGAGGTGGAGACACTTTGAACCCCAAGCCAAAAAGACAGTCCACGTGTATCAGAACGGCTCTGACCAGCCTGACCAACAGGACCAGGTTTACAGAAACCGAACAGAGATGAAGGAAGACCTGCTGAGAACTGGAGACCTCAGTCTGACCCTGAAATCCCCCACAGTCAGAGACAGAGGACGATACAGGTGCAATGTCTTCAACAGTGACGGAAACATCCAGAGAGGGAAAACTGTTCATCTCAGGGTCAAAGGTCAGTATGCAGACTGAGGTCAGACCTCCCACTGCATGAAAAGCGTGATTTTGGTCCCTGTAAACTGCCTTGACTCCCACTAGTCCTTGGCAGTTATTGTCCTGGCTTTATCAGTTTCACAAAGGCCAAACCAGGCTCAGGAGGAGCGACTATGTCAAGCCAGGTGTAAGTAATTGAGATAAATGTGCTTCAACAGATTTCTTCACGAGACCACATAGTCGCTCACAGATTCATTGATGCTGAAATGGAAAAGACGTGTGCAGCATACTTTACAGCAAAGGAAGGTTAACGATGACAAAAAGTAACAAGGGCACAGCAAACAATAGAGGGGCGACTGATGAAGTAAGTAGCTAAACATATCACTGCTCTTAACTGAAACTGTCAAAATTATAATAATAATTATATAATTATATATGTTACAACGTTATGTCATACATTAAAAGTGAGCAGTGGATGTAAATATGACACTCAGCAAATGTATTAATTACAACAATAGCCTAATCAACATAATAACAATTCAACTGTAATTATGTAGCGCCAATTCACAGCAAATACAATAAAAACACAAATCTCCTTTAATGGTATTTCCACATCTATAAGTTACCTATGTAAGCCTATCGAAAAACTAACTGTGTTGAAAAGTGGTGGGGACATAAGGGCTTAGATTATGGGCGTGACAATACACTTGACTCACGAGATGTGATGATGCACAATTCTGTGTTCATGGGAACAAGATGAGAAAAATATTTTAACACTATTTTGTGTTAACATATAAGTGTTTTACAAACTGTCAGATGTCTGAACTGCACACACTTGATAATTATTGACAAAATAAAATATCACCAAAAACCCCAGCAGGACTTGGACCTAGATATGGAGATAAAATAGATTCTGAGGAAAATGACTTTGCTAGAAAGAGAAGTGATCACTGCAATGCACACTGTAAGCATGACTGTAACACAATGCATTAATCATTGCTCTCCCAAGCTGGTACATCTGGAAATGATACATGTGCCACAGAAATTTCATACATGTAGGTGAAACTTTGTCTGGGGGCTGCTCTATAGGGGGCACTAGCGAGCCATTGTGTCACGCCCATGTGCGAAACCAATAAAATACAAAAAATGTTGCCGCGTCTGAATTATGTGTAACATTTGCTGAGTTTTCGAGTATGTTTAGGCCCCCAAAATTGAGGTTACTTTGCAGGGGAAAAAATCCCTTCCGTTTCAATAGGGATCTTGCACGTTTAGTGCTCAGGCCCTAATAAAGTAATAAAGTATAAACCATGTTTCACAGAGCCGTGCTGATGAATTCATGATGAATGATGAGTTCTAAAGTCTCACAACCTGGAGGAAAAAATACATTTCACTGAAAAATACTGTTGATACGATTGACCAACAATGAATCCGAACCAAAAAATCTTACCTGCTTCCTACTCAATCATCACCGGGCAAAACTCTTAAAGTCTGTCGCACCAGCAACTGGTTGACTGTACGTGAAGTTTCATTCACGAAGTTCCTGCGTGAATGATGTTGCAGCTGTGATTTCTCACAGTGGGTCTTACAAACAGCTGGAAAACAACCTTTGGTATTATAAATAAATAGCATAGCCACAGTACAAAAAAAATAAAATAAAACATCACAGTAAAAGTTTGCTACTTACACTCAATGGCCTCATGATCCACACCGTCTGAATTAGGAGCCCAAATGGATGTGACCACCTCATTATAAGGTGGGCAGTCTGTGAAAACAAAAGTAAAGTACGGTCAAGGACAATCAAAATAACTTTTTACTTTTATACAGTAGAATGCATGCCTATTCTGTAAATCTTACATAATAATCAGCATAATGGTACTTTTGATTTCCCTCAGAGTTGTGCAGGAGACTTCCTATGAAAGGCCCATTTTGTGAAAAAACTTTCTCTGATTTTGGCTGGTTTTAGCTGTTCGCCCGTCTTGTCTTCTTGTTCTTCCACACTGGAGCAGTTGTGGATTTAAGAACAGCCGCCCCCATTTCAACATTCTGGCTTTCAGTGCAGAAAACTGCTGACACATCGGTCTCTGCAAACAATTTTACAGGAGGTCAAAACCAGCGTTATGTAAAACAAGATTCATCCACTCACATTCATTCCAGTTCGCAGCCTGCGCTCCAACAACTCACCAGGAACTCAACATGTATATCTCCCCTCTAAATTAAACACAAAATGAACTAAATTGTCCTTTAAATGGGTCAGTTCAAACCTTCAAAAGTCAACATGAAACATAAAAACAAAACAATCAGCAGAAATACAACTTAGAAAGCTATTAGAAAAATAACTCTACTAAATTAAACATTAAACAAGCAAATAAATTGAAATTCATATACAGTGCACTCTCTCTCCCCTCCAGCCCCTCCAGCTTCTCTCCCAGCTGTGTCTTTCTTGGCTTGTGTGGAGGTGAGTGGTGATGAACAAAAGACTAAACTACCAGTGCCTCGAGTTTACCGCTAATTAAACAAAAGACAGTATAGGCCTATGTCTTGCTGATGCATGACTCATGAGCTGAGCTAATGTAATAATTTAGCTGAAGTTTAGCTAAGGCAATATCTCATGGCCTTACAACCTAATGTACTGATGGAGACACTACAGGTGAACACAGTAACATTTGTGTCTAATAACGTCATCACAATCGTCACATTGATATGCAAATTAGGTGTTAACTCATTAAAATGCGCCAATTTGCACACATTTGACAAGTCACTGCAGGTAAATAAGGTAAAGAAAATAACTAAAGCATATCACCTCAAATGTGAAACTAAGTCTGTGTGTGTGTGTTAAATGTAATGTAACAGCAACAATAAGAAAGTGTTTGTATTTTATCAATACATTAATGTATTCAGGTAATTCAGTATTCTGTGGCTTGGCTGTGTGAAGCTGAAGGTTATCTTTACTCATTTGGCATCTTGCTTGTGAAACAAAAAGTAAAAATATTTAAATAACATTTATTTTAATTATGCATGCAGCCCAATGCCACAGTTATGTGAAGTATTATGTATTCCAATAACACCAAAAGAATTGAAACGATTTATTGCCTTGTGAAAAATAAACAAATTATTAATGAAACTATGCCAAAAATAATACTTGAAACTAGTAGAATAGAAAACATGCACATTGTGGCATAGTTTGCTTTGCTGTCGCTGCTCCTGTGATAAACCTAGTGAATACTAAAGAAGACCGTGGTCTCTGTGTGAACTGATTATTTTGTAGAAAAGTAAAAATGTTGTTGAGTTAATATATTTGTCTCATTTAAAAAAAATACATTTTTTTAGCTTTAATGAAATTGTTTTGTCTTATGCGTTCTCTGTTCCTGAGAGAACGTCCAGGCTGAGAACTTCTTTTCTGTGATCTCCCTCCTTCAGTGTTTTAATTTTCCCTTCCTCTGGCAGATGCTCCAAACCGACGACAGGTGTGTGAGCTATCTGAATAGTTTGAGTACTCCTGTTTTTTTTCTCTTTAATAAATCTCACAAAGATAACTGTTTCTGTAACTTACTGACTCACTGATTTGGGGCGGCTGTGGCTCAGGAGGTAGAGCGGGTTGGCCGTTAATCGAAAAGATGGCGGTTCAATCCCCTGGTTGTGTGTCGAAGGGGTTATTCCGCCAGTGTATGAATGAGTGTGAATGTTAGTTTCCGTTTGAGCACTTAGGCTCAGTGTATGACTGCAGATGTAGTGTAAAAGCGCTTTGAGTGGTCGAAAAGACTAGAAAGGTGCTATACAAATATGGAGCATTTACATTTGCTGCTGAATATCCACTGGACAATAAACAGAGATGGAATCGCATCCTTAAATTTAGCTACAGCACTATCAGACAGACATCTAGTATAGAAATGTTTGACCAATGGCGTGTAGTTCAGCAATACAAACTCAAAAGTTATCCAACAGTGGTCAGATAAAGAGGGATTCTGTGGGAAAACTATTATATACTATATATTTCAATACCATATACCAGAACAAGGTCGAGGGTGTGGTTATAACAGTGAGTCGGTTTATGAACACTTTAAGAGAAGCCAATTGAATCTAATAGAGAGATAAACGCAGTTCTAAAGCTGTCATTCTCTACGTCCACATGAGTATTAAAATCCCCTACAATAATAACTTTGTCCGTTTTAAGGACTAAAGTTGACAAAAACTCAAATTCAGATAAGAATTCAGAATACGGGCCAGGTGCTCGGTACACTATAACAAATTGGTTGCAGTGATTTCCAACTTGGATGTGAAAGACTAAGAACAAGGCTTTCAAATGAGTTATAATTTAGTTTCGGTTTAGAGCTGATTAGTAGGCTAGAGTCGAAGATAGCTGCAACTCCACCTCCTCGGCCTGTGCCTCGAGGAGTGTGAGTATTAATATGACTGGGAGGGGTGGATTCATTTAGGCTAACATATTCTCCATCACCCAGCCAGGTTTCAGTAAGACAAAATAAATCAATATCATAATCTGATATTAGTTCATTTACTAGTACACCTTTAGAAGAGAGAGATCTGATGTTTAATGAGTTCACATTTAATTATCCTATTTTTTATTTTTTATATTTATTGTTGATATTGTTGTTCTAATTTTTATATGGATTTAATGCACAGCTCCTCTTCTGTTTACCTTTGATTTAAATAATTTTTATGACATTGAAGCTCTACATGTCATCACTGGTCAGATTTGGCAGGGGTCCAGAGAAAACTACGGTGTCCAACATTGTTTTTGCATATGTACACACCGACTCAACATTAATCTTAGTGACCTCCGATTGGCCTTAACTATGGCCGCTGGCTTCCCTAACTAAAATGGAGTAGCCAATGATCAGAGTTGGTTTCTCAGCGGGTGTGTCGCTGAGTGGGGAAAATCTGTTAGAAACGTGAACAGGTTGATGGTGCCCCGTGGGCTTTGAATGCTTACGACTATTCCTCCTTCGGACAGTCACCCAGCCACCCCTTCCCGGCTGCTCAGGAGATGCCGGGAGACGGCTACCAGAGGCTAACTCAGGCGATCAGCACCAACTACCGGGGACGGCGAGCTACAGCAACTAACACTGATCTACCAAGGTGCGGAGCCGGGCTTCTAAATCACTGAGCCTCGCCTCCATGTCTATAAATAAACTACACTTATTACACGTACCATTACCGCTAAAGGAGGCAGAGGAGTAACTGAACATCTGACACACCGAGAAAGAGAAAGTAGGAGAGCGAGAGGGAGAAGGAGAAGCCATCACTAGCTGCTAAGCTAAAGTCGCTAACGGCTAAGCTAAAGTATAAAGTAAAAACTATGAGATTAAACAGCAGTCACTAAAAGATGGAAAGAAGTGTGAGTGCTTAGGCAGAATTACTGTAAGAATAAGTGTTTAGCGGACAGATGGCTGCTGTAATGACAAATCTAACAAATTTAACTTGTACAAGGAGGGCAAGACACAAAAGGTCATTGCTAAAGAGGCTGGCTGTTCACAGAGCTCTGTGTCCAAGCACATTAACAGAGAGGCGAAGGGAAGGAAAAGATGTGGTAGAAAAAAAAATATACAAGCAATAGGGATAACCGCACCCTGGAGAGGATTGTGAAACAAAACCCATTCAAAAATGTGGGGGAGATTCACAAAGAGTGGACTGCAGCTGGAGTCAGTGCTTCAAGAACCACCACGCACAGACGTATGCAAGACATGGGTTTCAGCTGTCGCATTCCTTGTGTCAAGCCACTCTTGAAAAAGACACAGCGTCAGAAGCGTCTCGCCTGGGCTAAAGACAAAAAGGACTGGACTGCTGCTGAGTGGTCCAAAGTTATGTTCTCTGATTAAAGTAAATTTTGCATTTCCTTTGGAAATCAAGGTCCCAGAGTCTGGAGGAAGAGAGGAGAGGCACAGAATCCACGTTGCTTGAAGTCCAGTGTAAAGTTTCCACAGTCAGTGATGGTTTGGGGTGCATGTCATCTGCTGGTGTTGGTCCACTGTGTTTTCTGAGGTCCAAGGTCAACGCAGCCGTCTACCAGGAAGTTTTAGAGCACTTCATGCTTCCTGCTGCTGACCAACTTTATGGAGATGCAGATTTCATTTTCCAACAGGACTTGGCAGCTGCACACAGTGCCAAAGCTACAGTACCTGGTTTAAGGACCGTGGTATCCCTGTTCTTAATTGGCCAGCAAACTCGCCTGACCTTAACCCTATAGAAAATCTATGGGGTATTGTGAAGAGGAAGATGCGATACTCCAGACCCAACAATGCAGAAGAGCTGAAGGCCACTATCAGAGCAACCTGTTCTCTCATAACACCTGAGCAGTGCCACAGACTGATGGACTTCATGCCACGCCGCATTGCTGCAGTAATTCAGGCAAAAGGAGCCCCAACTAAGTATTGAGTGCTGGACATGCTCATACTTTTCATGTTCATACTTTTCAGTTGGCCAACATTTCTAAAAATGCTTTTTTTGTATTGGTCTTAAGTAATATTCTAATTTTTGAGATACTGAATTTGTGATTTTCATTAGTTGTCAGTTTTAATCATCACAATTAAATGAAATAAACATTTGAAATATATCAGTCTGTGTGTAATGAATGAATATAATATCCAAGTTTCACTTTTTGAATGGCATTACTGAAATAAATCAACTTTTTGATGAATTATATGACCAGCACATGTATAATGACTTTCCATAATCCTTATCTGTCACATTAATGTTTGTGTGAAAGCTGCTCAGCCAGTTTCTTCACATTCCAACAGCTGCTTCAGTGGAAACAGTTTAAAGTGAAACTCCAGTTTTCTCCTCACAGAGTCAGCAGATTATCAGGAGGAGGAAAGGGACAGCTGGCTGTGAACTGATGTCCTCACTGGGTTTCTGAAGACTTCCTTTAGTGAGAAGCAGATTAACTTTGTGCTTGTTGGAGTTTCTACAGGAAGATGAAGATGTTTGTGGTGTTTGTGATCCTCGTGCACGGTAAGATAACCTTCCTCCCTCTGATCTGATCATCACCTCAGTCCAACGTCACGTCTTCACGTCTTTAATCTGTGTTTCTTTCATCTTAACTAGGACTGTTATGATAACCACAATGTAATCTATTAATTTTGATTACTGTCAGAGTAATATCTAATGAATGCAGTTTCTCATGTGATCTGTTTTGAAGTGACATCATCAGAAAGAAGAAATTTAGTTTAAATCCATTTCTTTGTTTCATGATTGTACTGATGAAAAGTTGGACTGACTTCAGTGTTTAATGACATAAATCTCTGTCAGCTGTTTGTGTCTCTGACATTAAAATGTTTTCTTGAAATGAATGAAAGTGAACAGAAAAGCTTGTGTTTCCTGACGGCTTCAGTCATTTAGAGATTGATAAAGAAGTTTAGTTCTTGTGCAGATAATCAACAGGACTGAAGGTTCAGCTTTCTGTCTGTCAGTCTGAGACAGAAACTGGACCAACAGCTCTGACAAACATGAGGAAGCTGAAGCTCCTCCTCTTTCCTCAGAAGAGATCTGTGGTGATCTGGACTCATTCCAGAGAGCTGCTTTAACAAAGTCTGAACCTGAACTCTGAGCTGACAAACCCTTAAGTGTCAAACTCAGTTTCACTTCAACACAGCTGATCACAATAATATTACATTTTATTTGTGGGCGCCTTTCATAGCACTCAAGGACACCTTACAGATTAAAATAATTAAAATACATTTCAAGGAGGCAAATACAATAAAGAAAATCAAAACCAAGACAATTTAAAGATTAAGTTAAAATAGTATAGAGGGGAATTAAAGTAAAAAAAAGCAGTTCATTATGAAGCCGGTGGAAGGTAGAGTTATGTGGGGTAGGCCTTTCGAGTGTTCTGTTGAGGATGACACCAAGACTCTTGACATCGGGGGAGGAGGAGACACTGGAATTGGAAAGCAGTAGCACTGGAGCAGTCAAATAGGAAGGATGAGTATGATAAGAAGACCAGAATCAGCAGACATTAGTAGGTCATGGGTGACCTTGATTAGGACTGTTTCTGTGCTGTGGAGTCCGAAAGCCTGGATAAAGTGCACCGTTATGTGAGGTGGGTAGCTATTGATGGATACTGTCAATTTTGGTTTTGAAAAATGACATAAAATTATGAATAGTCCAGATTGTATAGTGAGATCAGATCATCAGTTAGTTTTTCTAAGGTGAGATTGTTAATTCCTATAGAAAGGGCAGGTAGGTCAATGTTGTTGATGTTTCAGAATGAGATGGAGCGGGGTGGATTCGTTTTGGGTAGTGGTAAGTTGACATTAAAAGAAATTAACTTGTGGTCAGAGATGGACAAGTCAGATGCAGTGCAATTAAAAGGGGTTAGACCAGAGAAACAGATAAGGTCTAAGATGTGTCCTGTGGGAAAATCACCCAGAATAATGACATTGGATGGGCGATAGATAGTGGCTAATATGGTAGGGATTTTTTAGCAGTGGCGACCAGGCGTGCCAGCGTTCACTTCCTCCTTACATCAATTTAGCAGCAAGCCTCACTCACTCAATCAATCAATCAATATATCTTTATTTGTATAGCACTTTTGTTTCAAATTAAAAAACTAGTGCTATGACAATAATGCCACCCCTTCCACACACACACCACACACAGAGTGATAGAGATTTAAAGGCAAATACAATAAAAACATGAGGTGAGGAAAGCGTTTGGCGGGCCCTCGCACGTGAAGGGAGACTGGAAGTATTGCAATCACGCCGCACATGCTGCAGCTCTGCCAACATGGCTTTTGATTATCACACGCTTGAGACATTGCATGAAGGACTTAAACAGTATATCCTGTGTCCCCTAGATGGTGATAGAGAGCACCCACTAATTATACGTTATGTCCCAGAAAATAGCTTTTTGGATCGTCTTGACGTGATACATGTACCACAGAAAGTTTGTACACTTAGGTGAAACTTTGGCCGGGGCTGCTCTGTAGGGGTTGCTAGCAAGCCATTTTGCCATGCGCATGTGCGAGACCCATAAAATTTAAAAAAAAGTTTGGTGACTTTTTTAGCATGTTTGGACCATTAAAAACGATATTCTTTTGGGGTCCTCGCACGTTTCATGCTCGGCCTCTAAGCTGTGTGCACGTACTTATGGAAGCTAGCTTGTGCCAGATAATAGCTGGACAGATGCAAAGATTTCGAAAATTAGGCAAATACCATTTCAATTGAAGGTTTGCTTGTTCTAATAATGTAACTAAAATCCAGTAACTGCACAGTATGCCGTGTGTGGCACCGGAAATACCTTCACATTTCTTTAACCTTACCTTACTTCATTTGAGAACAGGCAGCTGAGGGTTATTGCCACAATAATTGTTCACATTGTAATTATTCATAGATGCTTTAGAAACAATTATATTGTACTAGGTGTCTGTGAGTGTTGGGTGAAGATCAGTAGCTACTCTACCCACCAAAGAACAGATTATGGTTTTGCAGTTAATATATTTTAATCTACAGCTACAATACATTGTAACTTGCACCTGGTACCCTGGTTTGCAATGTAAATTTATAACTGAAAATTCTGGGTAACAACAGTTTACAGTGCTGGTAAACAGAGCTGAACGGTTGACAATTAATCACATCCTGTGGCAAGTAATGATTTTTTTTAACATGCACACAAATGCAATAAAAACAAATTATTTTGTCCTGGCTTCAAAAGGCCAGCCACACAGGGATTTATTATGCATGTCTTCTACTTAATTGTATGACTTGGAATAAGCACAAGTTGAGAACTGCATTAATCCTGCACTGGTCAGCTAATAAGGGACAGGCTGGAGTAGAACAAACTAACCTTTTTCAAGTAATACAGGAATGTAATAATGTCGTGTGTATAGCTTATGTGAAGTTGGATCAAAGGTAGCTAAAGTTAAATGAGGTAGAGAGGAACCTAGTATATATTTTAATTACAAGACAATTAAAGTATGCAGACAGTTGTAATGAAAGTTGAATGTTCTCCACTTGTTACCCTGTAGTTACACAGTCATGTTATGAAGTATCCACTTCACCCATACTTACACAGGAACAACAAGCTTTGTGCTGGTCTCCCGTTTTTACTCTTACTTACTTTACACAACAACAACAAGGCATGTGGGTGGAATATAAAAGGGTTTTATTCTATTGTTTGCATTGAACTGTAATTTATAGCTTAATGACAATTATTTATTCCTGTGCACTGTTTGGGGTATTTTCCTCATTGCTCTCCTTATTCTTCTTGTTTCTGTCCTCTTCTGACAGAGATGAACTACCACCAATCTCTTTTCTGCTTTTGGTCATAAAATATATTTTTTTTAATTGTAGCTGGTTAAGTGAAGAAAAGGTAACGATAAAGTTACTCCTAACATATATAAAACTTGGCTCAATAATAAGAACATTTAACACACATTGAAGTCAATAGTCAAGGTTTGTTTTTTGCTAAACATCATTATAAGCTACAGCCTATGACATTGCACACTACTTGAATTAGCCTAGCGGCTAGCAGACTTTGCTTCTGGTCATAGATTAAACATATAATTATATTTTTTATTACACAACACTGTTTTAAGTCGCTGCATCTCCCGACACAACAACACTTTAATTTTAACTGTGAATGTCTGGATGTACGTTTTATTGAACCAGAGCAGCTGAGATTGCCTTAAAGAGAGCAACAAGCTAGCGCTTTCAGGCAGCTCTGTTGCACTTTGAGATTGGAAATTATGAGTGACACAAGTGTGTAGAACTCTGGTGGAAAGTAATGAGACCAAATACTTTTACTGTACGCAAGTAGTTGTTTTCCATATTTTTACTTTACTTGAGTATTTTTAGTTGAAGCAACTTTATACTTTTACTTCGCTACATTACAGGAAACAATGACAAAATCATGAGATATTTGGCAGCTCCATCAAGGGTTGCGTGCTGAAGGTGCTGTCACAGCTTGGACGGCAAATGCAGTCAGGGCGTCTTGTTACTTTCGTCCCGTGTCACTTTCGCTCCAGTTTACCCCTATCTGTCTTAGTGTGTTCTTGGGCTGTGTTTGTTGAAAATACTCGTGAGTTTCTCTGATACTCCATACACACATGGAATCATGATGTTTTTGCGTTTCTTCTCCTCATTCATTTGTGCTGTGTCAACCACTGTAGCTGTCCTACGCTCTTTGAAAGGATAGGGGGCAGTGGTGAACTGGACTGATGGTTGCAATTCGCAACCTCGCTGCTAGATGCAACAAACCTTACACACTGACCCTTTAACCCAAACCATGATTTTTTCCAGGGGTGTACTTGGACTGAAATTCAATCTGGGACTTTAAGATGGAGAGGCCTTTTATGCGACAGCCATTTGGGGAAACAGAGAAAGAGTTTTTGCAATGTTATTTTAATACACATTAGTGTTTTTATGGTATACAGTAAATCAGATTGTACTGATGACCTTCAACAAACTTTATGATGACGATGACACCTGTCTGTTTAGTTTGTATAAGCAAGGCACCACTGCACTGAACAAGAGCAGGTCAAGTCTGAGTCAGTCAGAGTACTCAAATAAAATCAAAAACTAAAATGCAGTCCCATAAAATGCAGCACTTTGTATGTGTCTCAAGATTTTCATCTCATTTTCTAATTCTTTGCATAATTTGATTGCCTATCCAGTCCTGCCACTGTACCTGTCACTGTTTTGTCTGGTTCCACTAACGTCCTTCACCTGCAGGTCCTCCTCTTCCTTCTCTCCTTCCTCCTCAACATGACTGGGGTCATCGGCTCCACTGAGCCGATCAGATTTCAGCAAAAACAAGGATCAGTCCAAGTTGGGAGGGGCTGCTCATATCCTCCCTTAATTTTGAAAGTCTTAGTTTGGCCCAGACTGAAAGACTCACAAACAGCGTTCCTCTGCAGCTGGTCGAGCCAGCCGGCAAGCTAAGCGGCGAATCAGAAAAATAAAAACTTTTGGATTATGAATATATTTGTAGATCGTGATTTGTGTTTATAAAATTTTGTGACTCTACATTTAGAATTATATCTTTGTTTTGAGAGAGTTGTGAGAGATTTCCACTGTGACCCATCTACCATTGTGTCCCTGAGCACACGGGTTGGTATCCAGGGTGTCACGCTACAGTGGTTTCACTCTTATTTGAAAGATAGAACCTTTTCTGTTAGCTTTGGTAACATTTCCTCTTCCTCTGCAGCAATTAAGTGCGGAGTACCTCAAGGTTCAATCTTGGGGCCAATCTTATTTTCTTTGTATATGCTCCCCTTGGGCTCCATTCTCCACAAACATAATATATCTTACCATTGCTATACTGATGATACACAGCTGTACTTACCTCTGAAGCCAGGCATTCAAAGTCCCTACAGTCTATTTACAACTGTCTAAATGATATTAAGCGTTGGATGGCAATCAACTTCTTCCAACTAAATGGATTGAATTATTTGGTACTCAACTGAGGAATTATCAAAAAATTTGGGCCCCATGTCCATTAATGTACAACCCTTCGCTAGGAACTTACGGGTTATCTTTGACTCAGTATTAAAATTCGACAAAAATATAAACTCTGTTGTTAAAAGTAGCTTCTTTCATTTAAGGACCATAGCAAAACTTAAATCCATTCTCTCTGTTAAGGCCCTTGAATGCTCTTATTTCCTCTCAAATTGATTACTGTAATTCCTTGTACTCTGGCATCTGTCACTCATCTTTATCACGCTTGCAGCTTGTTCAAAATGCAGCTGCTAGATAGCTAACTGGTACAAGGAAGAGGGACTACATAACCCCAGTATTGGCTGCTCTTCACTGGTTACCAGTCAAATTTAGAATCGATTTTAAGGTGCTGCTAATTGTTTTTAAGGCATTACATGGACTGGCCCCATCTTATATTTCAGAACTCTAACGTTTCATCACTCCTCCAGATCCCTCAGATCATCAAATCATTCCCTCTTAGCCATCCCACAGTCTCGTATGAAAACAAAGGGTGACCGTGCCTTTTCAGTGGTGGCCCTGAGACTGTGGAATAATCTACCCCTGATTATTAGATCATCCCCCACCATCCACACTTTTAAGTCTCGACTTAAAACACATTTTCATTCTTTGGCGTTTGAGTCTGTTTAGGGGCACCTGCGCTTGTGTCTTTATTTATCTATTTTGTATCTAACTGCGTTGTTTTGCTGTATGCCATTAATTGTCTGGCCTGTTTTATTTTCTCTGGTTTTATCCATTTATTTATATATGTATGTATGTTTTTATTACGTCTTTTTCTGTATAACTTGTCCAGCACTTTGGTCAACTCTGGTTGTTTTTAAATGTGCTTTATAAATAAACTTGACTTGACTTGACTTGACTTGTGCAAGACACTTCAATCAATTTACCCCGATAGGGTAAGACATGAAATATGATTGAACCTCTCTGTCTGTTTGACCTCACAGTTTCCCAGCATACCTCAGCTGTGGAGCTGTATGAGGGGGAGGAGTTTGTCCTGCTGCCCTGTGAGTTTCCCCCATTGGACCTGAAAGACCCCACAGTGGTGTGGAGCCGCTACGATCTCAATCCTCCAACCGTCCACCAGCGTCAGCAGGAAGGTGATGAACTTAAAGACCAAAACCAGCTTTACAGCGGCCGAACATCCATGATGACTGACGCTCTGGAAACTGGAGACCTCAGCCTCAAGCTGACAAAACTCCAGCTCTCTGACAGCGGCAGCTACACCTGCACCGTCAGTGCGTTAGGAGGACAACAGAGAGTGAGAAACATACAGTTGAAGGTCAAAGGTCAGCAACAAACCCTAACACCTGCTGTAAATACAGGCCAGAGGTCATGTTCTTTATTGGCGCTTTTCCATCACCAGTAGCAGCTCAACTCGCCTCGACTCAACTCTACTCGATTCGGTTTGGCCGTTCTCTGTTTTCCATTGCAGATAGTACCCAGAGATAGCACCCCTCAATGTAGCTGGTCGTCATAGCGACGCCAATGTTGTAATGTTCAGTGCGACACAGACACCAGCGATCCAGATAAGCGGTATGAAAATCTTCCAGCTGTGTTTTCCTCTGCCGTTGTTGCTGCAGCGGTCTGTGTGACGGCGGGATCAGAGGGCTCTGTGAGCGAGCGGCTGTGGGCGAGCTCCTCCCGCGGGTTAGCGCAGGCTTCCCCAGCCGCTACTTGCAGAGCTCCTCAACTTCGAAAACTTTCAAGCACATTTTTGTTCCGACACCATTTCTTGTAAAACTGTCAATATTCAAAATCTACACAGTTGATTTCTCACCTCAAGCCTTCTCCGAATTGGAATTAGAGATTAAATTATATACGAAAACTGTAAAACATAAAACTTCCTGTTGCTGGCCTCTGTCTGGCGCGTGCACTGATGATGCAGTGAATAGTGACGATTCTCTCTGACTAATTAGCAGTCTGCAGTGTTTTCACGTTACATTTTAGTATCGCCTCAACTCGCTTGGAACCTCGACGGAGGTGATACAAAAAAAGTACCTGGAAGCAGGTACAACTTTTACAATGGAAAACCAAAAAAGGAGAGTCAAGTCGAGACGAGTCGAGCTGGTACTGTGCAGTGAAAAAGGGGCTTATGTTTCTGGTTCCCACAGAACATTTTCCATCCTGGGCCAAAGTTCTCCTGGTTCTCCTGGTTCTCCTGGTTCTCCTGGTTCTCCTGGTTCTCGGTCTTGTTGCTGGGGGTCTTCTGGTACATTTCCGGCACTATTTCATGTCAGGTATGTCACTACTACTACACTTCCAGCATATGAAGGTCTTATTGGAGCAAAACACCTGAACACCTGTGACAGTGGAATCTGTCTCGTATCAGCTCGTCTCTTGTTTTTCCAGTTCAGATCCAACCATACCCACTTCAGTGTGATGACAGCCTCAACGTATGACACCTACTGTAAGCCCCCCTACATTTTTGCCTTGAGGGGTTGAATGTGGCATTTTTGGCAACAAACCACGTAAACGTGAATCAGTCATCTTTACTTTATATAATGTACAGGAAAAAATGTAAGAGAGAAGTAAAAGCTTTGTAGAAAAGGCTCCAAAGTTATGTCAGTGTTGCTATTATTTAGTACAGTTGACCATATTGGGCTTTGTGTTTTTCCGTTATTTCCATTTATTTAGCGCTTGTAATCGGGTAGCCAAAGCAAGTGCTGGTTTGTATATTATCTGACGTCACACAGTTAGTATGCTGTATGATAGAGATAGTCGGTCAGCTGGATTGTAATTGTGAGCTGCACCTTTCTTTAGAGTGTGCGTAACTGAGAAGAGTAAGTACATCTGTGAAATTGCGTTTATTTGTCAAACCAGTTGTTATTTCTGCTGTTTGATGTGTAGAGTTTAGGAGTTTAAAGGGTTGCTACGCATACTAATTGGCATTCGTACATTCACTTTCGAGCTTTGGCTCATCTGATTTGGTACGCCGGGTTAAAAATATGTAATATTGTGTTTAGACATGTTTATACTTTACTGCTTGTTGTTAGGATTGTTCAGTACTTGGTGGTTGAGTAGAATAAGAAGTGGTGTTAAATACTGTTATTTGGAGCGCTATCAAGGCTTCTGAATCAAGGCCTTGCTAGTGCGAACGGAACATAGCATCCGGTACGGGGTTTTCACAATAAAAGCAGCTAGGCATTTAGTCAGTTGGAGGCTACAACGCGTATCAAAGATGACAGGAAGTGCTGTCTGTTAGCGAGAACTTAACGCATTGTAGAAAATATGAGAATCCCATATAATAAGTGTTAGAATCCTTTCTTTCTGCTTATATTATTAGAGTTTAAGAGAAATATAGTCATATTCTGACTATTGTTTTTGTTATGTTTAGTAACGTATATTAGTGCTTAAGGAGGAGTGACTGTATGCATATGTTTCCTTTATTCATTTGTATTTGTTTCTCTCTTTATAGAAACCACACTTAGCATTGCACTCACCAGTCAGATGTGGCTTAACATGGCTGATGTCATCCAGGCAACCAATCAGGAGGCAGCAGCAGGCCCTACCAAAATAGGGTACTTGTGCAGCACTGAGTTGCTGTTAGTCTTTCAAACTGCTGCAGTAAAACTATGAACAGAAAAAGCTCACTCCTAATGAGTTCCACAGAGCAGCTGTTCTTGCTGAGAAATGCTAATGAACTTTAAGTAATTGTAAAGGGTGGTGCAAACAAAGATTTTGGCTAAAATATTTTTCATTGTTTGCAGTAATACCATCCAAACAATAAAATCACACATAAATAATGTATCTACAAACATTTCTAAATTTAATTCAACAACATTTTTATGATTGGTCAGTAAATATGTTTATGTATTTATGTTTTCAGTTTTTATTCAGCCTATCGTTAATTCTATAGTCCGGAATCATGCAATTCTATGGATTGGTTAAGCATAACACATAGTTGTTTATATTCTTCACATAGGCACTATATTGATAATTAAATGTGTATTTAATAGCCTATATATCTCTCCAATCTCTTATTAAATTAATGCTGATGTGTCTGACTGTATACCTCAACCTTAAAAAACAAATCCTACCATAATGTAGACGTGCTTCTTTTGCATTGTAACAATATTTCTTAACTATCTTAGCAGTATATGTAAACCAGCTTAATCAGTCAGGAAATTAGTAAGTTTCTTTAAGTCATTACACTGTCTCGACATGGTGTCAGAAATCTGAAAGGCTACCGTGCACCACACAGAACACTGGCTGACAAATTGTGACGTTTAGCCTGAAACTCATCAAGTTCTCCCTCTTTCATCGTCATCGGTACTTTTGCATCCACTTTTGTTTCAGAGGGGACGTGGGGGGTTTCTCGAGCTGCCGCCTCCATTTTTCCAACTCAACTTGTTGCCAAGAGACCCTCCCTTATCTGACTCCGATTGGCCCTGAACCTGACGGTATAAATGAAACAGCGAATCTTGCCCAATCAGAGGTAGAGGGATGATTTGCATGGGGTGCTGCATTAAAGACAACTCGGATATACGGGACAAACCGCATCCCGTATTGATTCAAAACGGAATGCGCTATTTAATTCTCAAATACAGGACAATTCCATATTTTAAGGGATGGGTAGCTTGGATTCTCAGTCAAATCTCAGCAGCTTCTGGTCACTTTGAAGGGATGAAGATTTCTTAGTCTGTGAACAGCAGGGCCCAGTGAGAGGAGCTGGTTAGCTTGGTGTTGCAGCCTGTCGCCTGCAGCTCTTTATCTAATAGCTCACTGTGGCTGCTCCTGACTCTTCCATTACTCCCTGTGTAATGGTTGTGGTTAGGGCATGAAGAGGGATGACTGTTTTTCACATTTTATTGGCTCCTGCAAAAGACATTGCACACATTAATTGCACTTCTACTTCCTTCATCAGCGCAAAAGCACACTGAGGCAATGTCAGACATTTAAAATTAATTACAAGTTAATTAATTTAACATTACAATATACATTTAGCTCAGAGTGAATACCACTAGCCGCGAGCCATTAAAGTTTTCAGAAAACAATTAATATTGATTATGACAAATCCATAAAAATGGTATATATATATGTAAGAGAAGCATAACAGGGATAAAAGCCAACTTGTGTTTCACCAGTTAAATGCTGAAGCTGCAGGAAATGTTCACTGTTTTTCCCTTGGTAATACTGCAGATATGTAAATACTGCAGTACTTTGATCAGTGGGCCACAGGCTCAGTCAGCACTGTGTTACCTCATTAGACGATAGATAGCGACTGAACATTTATTTAATGAAAACCTTCAGATTCTAACTTTAATAAAGATTTGATTGATTCCATCTGACAATAATACTCAGTGATTTAATAAACAGTCAGTTGTGCTGTTGATTGTAGAGACACCAAAGACAACACTGTCTCTGTTAGATGGAACAATGTAAGTAAGGAAGTAAACTTTTTTTATTTATACAGCTGGTAAAATAAGTATTGAACCTCTCATCATTTTTCTCAGTAAACATGTTTCTTTTTAAAGGTGCTATTGACATTCAATTTTCACCAGATGTAACAACCCAATTATCCATACATAAAAAAAGTTCAGAAATTAAGTTATGTGTAATATTGTGTAATGACATCTGCTTAATGAAATGTATTTATTACTTATAAATTCAGATTATTGGCTGGGCCATTCTAGCAGCTTTATTTTCTTTATATAACCAAGTAACAACCAACTGTTGTCTTTATTATAATAAAAAGAGAATAACAGAGAAGTACTACAACAGAAAATCAGCAGGTCCAGAGACCTGCTGCCTAGGACAGCTTCGGGCATCTGGCCTAGAGCAAAGGGAGGTTTTTATGTTTTGGGGAACTGAGATCTTCTCTGTCACAGGAAGAGGGGGAAATCACCAAAAAAATCTCACAGCTCTGACCTAAACTCTAGGAAATGTTGACAGACTAACGTAAGTACAGAAGAAGGAAAGGTTAGGGATAGAAACAATATATATCTATAACACCTAACAATAATAGTAGTAATAACAGTAATAATAATAATAGTAATAATAGAAGAAGAAGAAAGAGAAATACTTTATTAATCCCACAAGGGAAAACTCAACTTGGTGCAGCACTCCCCCAAGCGGGTGGGGGATTACGGGCATACTCAAGGCCATCTTCGGCAGTGCCCAGGAAGTGAGCTGGTACCTCTCCAGCTACCAGTCCACACTCCATATCTGTGGTCCGACAGCGATCGCTGTCTGAGCGATAAGAAGAAAGGAGGGGGGATTACAGTGTTTGTAAACAACAGATGGTGTAATGTGTTGCAACACATGTTACTGTGAAGGACCATTTCTGTAGCCCAGATATCAAATTGTTAGCTGTGAGTCTGTGTCAATACTTTCTGTCCAGGGAGTTCACATATGCCTTTATTATGGCTGTTTACATCCCACCATCAGCCGATTCTGAAGCGGCGTGTGACGTCATCCATTCAGTTACTGCCATACTACAAACTCAACACCCGAATGCTTTCATTGGAATTTCTGGAGACTTCAATCGCATGTCTCTTTCTGCTACAGTAGTAGAAGTAGCAGTTACTAGGTTATTGCTCTTGCATTGAAAATCCCAAATTCAGTATGTCCGAAAAATAGAATACTACTTAAGACCGATACAAAAAAAGGATATTTAGAAATGTTGGCCAACTGAAAAGTATGAGCATGTACAGCACTCAATATTTAGTTGGGTCTCCTTTTGGCGGAATTACTGCAGCAATGCGGCGTGGCATGAGTCCATCAGTCTGTGGCACTGCTGAGGTGTTATTAGAGCCCAGGTTGCTCTGATAGTGGCCTTCTTCTGCATTGTTGGGTCTGGCGTATCACTGACTGTGGAAACTTTACACTGGACTTCAAGCAACGTGGATTCTGTGCCTCTCCTCTCTTCCTCCAGACTCTGGGACCTTGATTTCCAAAGGAAATGCAAAATTTACTTTCATCAGAGAACATAACTTGGACCACTCAGCAGCAGTCCAGTCCTTTTTGTCTTTAGCCCAGGCGACACACTTCTGACGCTGTGTCTTGTTCAAGAGTGGTTGACACAAGGAATGCGACAGCTGAAACCCATGTCTTGCATACGTCTGTGCGTGGTGGTTCTTGAAGCACTGACTCCAGCTGCAGTCCACTCTTTGTGAATCTCCCCCACATTTTTGAATGGGTTTTGTTTCACAATCCTCTCCAGGGTGCGGTTATCCCTATTGCTTGTCCACTTTTTTCTACCACATCTTTTCCTTCCCTTCGCCTCTCTATTAATGTGCTTGGACACAGAGCTCTGTGAACAGCCAGCCTCTTTAGCAATGACCTTTTGTGTCTTACCCTCCTTGTGCAAGGTGTCAATGGTTGTCTTTTGGACAGCTGTCAAGTCAGCAGTCTTCCCCATGAGTGTGTAGCCTACAGAACTAGACTGAGAGACCATTTAAAGGCCTTTGCAGGTGTTCTGAGTTAATTAGCTGATTAGAGTGTGGCACCAGGTGTCTTCAATATCGAACCTTTTCACAATATTCTAATTTTCTGAGACACTGATTTTGGGGTTTTCATTAGTTGTCAGTTATAATCATCAAAATTAAAAGGAATGAACACTTGAAATATATCAGTCTGTGTGGAATGAATGTATACATTATACAAGTTTCACGTTTTGAATGGAATTACTGAAATAAATCAACTTTTTGTTGATATTCTAATTATATGACCAGCACCTGTATTTTTTTTGTTTTGTTTTTATTGTAAATACTATATTTTATAAATGCAAATGTAAATGCTCTGTATTTGTATAGTACCTTTCTAGTCTTTTCGATTACTCAAAGTTCTTTTACTCTACATCACATTCACCATTCACACACATTCATACACTGAGCCTAAGTGATCAAACAGAAACAGACACACATTGATACACTGGTTTTCATTGCCTTATTATCAATGTGCTCAACACTCACTTAGAAATGAAGCACATGAGTGTTTTCTCTGTTGCTTGCATCAGCCACTATTCTGCTAAAAATCTGGGGACACCGGGTCTGATTCAGTCCTGTGCGCCTCCAAGCTCTCTCTGACTACAGCGACATCACGGCAGCTAACGACTTGCAGTCCACTAACACAACAACCGGCGGAGCGATTTGTTCACTAGCCTCTAGTGATGCAGCCATGAGCTGCCAATTAACGCTATATGAGATCCGTTCTGCCACTGTTTACTTCGTAATGTTCAATTTAGATTTATTGTGGTTTTACCAATATTCATGTATACAGCTTCTCCACCGTGTCAGTTGCTGTAACTAGTGTGACCCACATAATATACACTGCAACAAAATGGGGACAACAACATAGAGGAAGAGCCATCCACTAACTTACAGTAAAGTTACTTATTGCTGTAAAAAGTGTCATGAAGTGGGACACAATCTCATTATAATATTCAGTCCAGCTCACTAACCGTTTTGTTATCATCAAATACATTTGGCTGGCTCAGCCTCCGGGGAAAGATAAACTGATAGTAAAGATAGTTATTGCAGTGGGAGTTTACCTGAGTTTCCAGCATGTTGTGTGAAGTGTCTGTCTGTCTATAGATGCTGTCACTCTGCCTGTGTGAAAAGCCATGCCGTTTCTGCGTTTATTGTGAGATTTCTGTATGAAAGTGGTTTTGTTTTGGATTAAGCTTGCTCATGACTTCAAGTGAGCACGCATACGAGCACACACATGGTTGCATCTTAAAACCGCATCGCTAGAGGCTGCTGAAAACTACATAATGCCCCTTTAAAAGCTTGTCTATAAAGATGTGTGTAGGTGTTTTCTAAAAATTTCCCAAGAATCCAAAGCTCCCAAGGCTAAAGGGAATTCCAGAGCCTTGGAGCCACCACACAGGAAGCACGATCACCTCTTGTCTTAAAATGTGTTCTGGGAACATTTAAAAGGTCTCAGCCTCAAAAGACCTCAGAGAGCTACCAGAGGTGTGTGCTTGTAATAGATCCTGGATATAACAGGGAGCTTGTCAAGGCTCTGTAAAGATTAAATTTTTTAGTACTGTAAAACCAATCAGAAGCAAATGAAGGGCCTTCAGTACAGGAGTGCTTAAGCAGTGTTCTCCTGCTGGTCTTAGTCAAAAGTCCCAATGGGAAACATTTCAGAGTTCCTGCTGCTGTCTGTACAGCTGATGTTGTGCTTTGCTGTCCTCTCAGTCTACCAGATGGAGGTGGAGGAGGGGGTGGAGTCTGTCGAGCTACCCTGCAAAACCAGAGTTCACCTGCCTGAAAATGTCACAGTGGAGTGGAGGGACAGAGACTACAGGAAGGTCCGTGTGTATCAGAATGGCTCTGACCAGCCTGAAGAACAGGACAGGTTTTACAGACACCGAACAGAGATGAAGAGAAACCTGCTGAGACCTGGAGACCTCAGTCTGACCCTGAAATACCCCACAGACAAAGACAGTAACACCTACACCTGCACAGTCTACAGCAGGGAGGGAGACATCCTGATGAAGAAACAAGTGGATCTTGAGGTCAGAGGTCAGTGCTGAAGATACGGGTCAGAGATCAAAGTATGAAGCCTACCAGCTCCTGGTTCAGGTTCAGAAAAGATAGAGGAACGAAAACCACCATCTGATCTTGAACCTGAAAGTGTTTTAGTATTTGAAGCAGCAGCAAGTGGAAATCAGGACCAAAAGTGACCTCTGAGTGAAACCTGAGTGTGAACTTCCTGGACTGTAACAAACTGCACGTGAACATAATCCAGGCAGGAAAGATGTTTCCTTCTAAACATTTTGTCAGAAACATTTAGTTAATGTTACAGCTCATTTGTAGGAGACAGCTTTTATATTCAGGGATCAATATCTGTAAACATCAATCAGAGAGAGGTCATTCCAGTTTCTGTCCCCTAAAGCCAAACAGTTAATCTAAAAGTGAGCCATGGATCCTTAGAGATTTCTCTCTTCCAGGTCACATTCTGTTCTCGAAGACTAAAGGATTTCTCCTGAAAAAACAACAGCTGTACTCATTTCTGCAGTTTGTTTGGAAAACGTTTCAGAGTGTTAAAACTTCCATCTGACAATAAAACTAATGATTGTAGAGACACCAAAGACAACACTGTCTCTGTTAGATGGAACAATGGGACATATTTCAGAGTTCCTGCTGCTGTCTGTACAGCTCATGTTGTGCTTTGTTGTCCTCTCAGTCTACCAGGTGGAGGTGGATTCAGAGGTGGAGTCTGTCCTGCTGCCCTGCAAAACCACAGTTCACCTGCCTGAAGACGTCACAGTGGAGTGGACGGACAGAGATGATAATGTGGTCCACATGTATCAGAACGGCTCTGACCAGCCTGAAGAACAGGACGAATATTACAGACACCGAACAGAGATGAAGAGAAACCTGCGAGACCTGGAGACCTCAGTCTGACCCTGAAACACCCCACAGACAGAGACAGTAAGACGTACACCTGCACCGTCTACAGGGAGAGAGACATCCTGATGAAGAAAAAAGTGAATCTCAAAGTCAGAGGTCAGTGCTGTAGATACAGGCCAGAGGTCAGAGTTGTCGATACAAGTCAGAGGTCAGAGCTGTAGATACAGGTCAGAAGTCAGAGCTGTAGATGTTTGGCTCATATCTGATCATGAAACAATAATTACTGATCAGCATTCACAATATATCAATCAAAAGAGGAAATGACATCATAACAGGAAACAAGAATAATCCAGGAGATCATTTACATGGATGGAAAGAATTAGATCAATAAGTTGTTAATTTCCAGCATTGATCAAGAAGGAAGTCCTGAGTGGTTATTAGTTAATTAGTTTTGTTAGTAGAAAACACATATTAGTTTCAACAAAACACTCAGAAAGAATTAGAAACCCCCCCAAAAAACCTTGGTGCGCATCATAATTTTTACAATATTCCTCATCCCTGGTTTTTTATACATGGTTAAAAAACATTTATCAATGCCAAGAGACATCTTTAGAGGAAAGAAATACAGTAGAAAGCATCTGCACTGTGGGTAAAGCAGGGTAGTATCACCGGGTCGTTAGAAACCCGTATGGTCCTAACATTTGCATACAGCAGTTGAAGGTAGGTGAGAACAGAAAGCAAGCAAAGGTTGGTTAGAAAAGAAGAAGAGAAAGGGCCATTTAATGCATGCTGGATGTGCCGTCTTGTTCCTAGAGGTGACAAAGAAACACAGAAACACAAACTTCAAATCAAGTGATATAGCTGCCCACACTGACTCCATTTACAACACGAGAAACAGAATTAAAGTTAGAAAGATAGAGTTGTTTAGAAGTCTGAAACAAAAAGAGCAAGAAGGAAAGAATGAAAGAATAAATGAATGAAAGAATAAGTAAATAAATGCAGAAATATAAGAAAGAGTATACTAATACTAACTCGTATACTAAAAATAAATACATACATTTGCTTTTGCCTTTTCCTTACAAAACCTATTGTCATTGCTATTCCCATAAGAGACTTATTGTCAATGCCATTCCCTTAAGAGACTTGTCATTGCTTTTCCTTTGCAAACTCAACCTGTCAATCAATGTGTTTTGGCCCACCCACTAAGTCAAGTCTGAGCAGCCAATGACTGATACGTTTGTATCAATATGCTGTGCACATTACTGTATTATGATGATTGACTGTATAAAAAATAACACCAATTGATTTCTGAACAGCTGTTTTGAAGGAGCTGAGATTCCTGATTTCTGAAACCATACACTATGGCTACCAAGCTAATATACTACTCTGCATTGCTAGTAATGGAGGTAGCTAATCGGCTAAACCCCCCAGAGGCAAGTCGACATTTGTGGTTGGTAGCCGGTGGCCGTATCATTACCAGCTTGACGTTACACTGGTGGTAAGTTAACTTGAAACTACTCAACAAAACTTTAAAAAACAATCTGTTATTGAGAGTATACTACAAAATGTTAAAATGCATATAATACATGTCAAATGAACAATCTGAAGCAAATCAATGAACCTGAATTTAGATTTTCACATAGGCTGACTATTGTTACGAGTCGTTTAATTGATGTCACTTGATTATAACGTTACTTGTCACAACTTAATAAACTAGTACTAGATTACATATGATAGTAGCTATTTAGCTTGCAAACCATTAGACATAACTGTTAACTTTTATTGCCTAACAGTTTATGTTAAAGATTGTAATTCCCCACACTTAGCTTTGACTTAAGTGTTAATGCAATAGACAGCGCTGTGCAAGATTTTTGTCTTGAATATGACAGTTGACACACAAAGGCACTTTCAAATTCGTTACAACACATTTCTTTCAGTAGTCAGTTGTTGTGGAGGTCATGGCCACCTATGAAGCCTCCACCCTGTCTGCTATACACAGCTTAAACTGCTAAATATTTGTCTTGGCTACTTGACATATGATGATTTTCCATGGTCTGTCTTTAAAGGACAACACACAAAGTTATTTAAAGATTGCCACACATTTTGAGGTTTTGCTTCTTTGTTAAATTTTCTCCAATATGTGACCTAATAGTGTTGTCAACATATACCTCAGCCATCTTTAATGGTTAACTATATATTTTCCATTACCTGAAGCATTTATTACACATTTATTTTCCTCCCATATTCACAGTGTGGATCAGATGCCCCACCTGGTGCCCAGAGAGCTGCACAGACCTTGGATGCATCTTCAGTGTGGCATGGACTGATGTAGAAAAGGCCTTCCCTTCTGTTAACTTTTACAGTTAATGTTAGTTTTAAATAATGTCCACATTTGTGTTTCATGGCCATTTAAAAATATTGTTTATGGTTCACATTGCAATAAATTCCATATATATTGCACTGCTTCTGTCTCTATGACTGACTGAACTCTTGCTTAGAGAGTTACATCTAGTGTAAATAGAAAAGTGAAAATACTCAAAAATCTAACCAAAAATTGTTCATGTTTCACATAAAATGTTGCCAATTATGCAGTATATTTCTTTGTTTGCAGAAGTATTTCCACATTCTAACTTATACTTAAAGACAAGATAAGGACTCCGCTAACGTGAATGGGGGTAAAATTGTAAACGCTCGGCTGGTGTAGCCTTTTCAAATGTTACCGACCAAATGGATCACATTCTGATAGTCATTTTGCTTGGGTTGCAAGAGTCAAATATATTGATTCACTGTGTTACAGCCGCCGTTTTGGCAGCTAGTAAATGTTATTTCAAAGCACAGGCACTTCCTGTTGGCTCAGAGGCATTGCGAGGCTACCCAGCCGACCAATCACAGAGCTTATGGTCGGCGTCGACTCCACGTGTAGTTACATTTTTGAGGAGGTGCACGTCAGGCGACAGCGTAGCTTCTGCGTAGCCTACGACGTCAATTTGACACAGAAGTATAAATTGAACTTAAGCCACACAAGACCTTCTCAGGGGTCACAATAAATTACACCTCCTTGGGGGTTTCAGAACTATTCAGTGTCCAGATAATTCTTTGTTTTCCACACAGTGCAACTTCTCAGTGAATGTCACATTTGTCTCTTAAAGAAAGGTTATATACTGGTTTTATTTGGACATCAGCTTTTCATTTTGAACTTTCTAGCATATGAGCAAAATGTTAACTTATGAATACCATAATAACATTTTCATTTACAGCTGTTTACTGTCATTTTGTTAAAAGTTTAGATCACATTATTTTGAGTTAACATAGTAGACTGATCATTGAACAATGTGAACAATGTTTAGTCTGATTCCCAATACACAAGCAATAGTTTAACAAATTAAAACCATATTTTGCATTCATGAAAACATTAATATTAAAAGGTTACAAATGTAACCGTTGTTTTGTATGACTAGAAATAATGTGTTTTAACAGTAATTATAATGATAGAGCCTATGGATGGGAACCTAGTGTCATAATTTTAAATCAGTATTCATATATTGTGGAGTAAAAGTAAAAACAAAAGGTTAAGCAAAGCAGCAAGGAGCACAAGCTGGAAGCTGGGACTTTTATATCGTGTAGACACAGGTGCTCCACATCTGGACGGATTCTGCAATCAGCTCCCCTGTTAATTAATTAATCTGTTGTTCATCAGGTTAGAAACAGCTGATGTGCAACAGGGAATGCAATTTGCTTTGCTGGTTGATTATCTGTAATTTAGCTTTTTCTGTTTAGTATAATTATTTTCCTTTTTAAATCTCCATGAATGTATTGATAAGATCACTTTAAAATATCACGCTTGCTAGACTCAGCCACTATTTGCAGTAGCACATAAAGCCAATACAATATGATTATTCCTAAAGCATCTATGAACATAATGTTCACAACGCAAACAATTATTGTGGCAGTAACACGGGAGCAGCTCGTTGTTGAAGCAGGGTAAGCCTACATACAGAGGAAGCTGTGTGTCATGCGTAATGCCCAACAGGACTGTTTTGTCTACCCAGATTTTCTCTCTCTATCTGTGCATCTCAAAAATTATAGTTTGCTGAATAAATAACAGCTGGTAACTGCTGAGTCAAAGCCAAGATTAGTTTTACAGCTCATTTCGGTTAATGAAGCCTAATGCAGATTACATACTGGTTAACCCTACCTAACGTTACCTAACAGTTACCTAAATGCGGTGCACCATCAACTCTTTGATTACTTTTCTTCCAAAGTTGTATCACATTAAATGCAAAAACTTTAATACGTTTGGATTTCTGTCCAGGACTCTTCAAAAACTGTGTTAACCATGTATTACGTTACACTATTGTTTTTTGAGCATCGTTAGCACGACGTTAGCTTGTCTCGCTTGAAGCTGGCTAATTAGCTAGTTAAATGGCTAAGCTAACAACCTAATGTAATGTGCCGATACCTGCTAATGAGTGCTAACAACACATTAATAAAATGCTAGGATTTCAATTACCAACTGGAGCACCAGCTTCTTGGAAGGTCTGTTAGTACAATTAACTGCTTAGTAAGACATCATCCGTCCGGTATTTGCATGAAAAATCTCCAAAAGGCACAACTAGATGGCGATGCCAAGCTCCATGACTGCAATTAGTAGAGTGAGGCTGCCTTGAAACGAACACTTCTATGAGTGATTAGTTGGACTTAGTGGGTGGGCCAAAACATATTGACTGACAGGTTGGGTTTGCAACGGAAAAGCAATGACAAGTCTCTTAAGGGAATGGCAATGACAATAAGTATCTTAAGGGAATGGCAATGACAATAAATTTCGTAAGGAAAAGGCAAAAGCAAATGTATGTATTTATTCTTTAATTTTTTTTTCTTTCTTATATTTCCACATTTATTTATTTAATCTTTTATTCATTCATTCTTTCTTGCATATATTTACCCATTTATTTATTTATTATTTCATTCAGTTCTGACACTTTGGAAGTTCCATAGTACTCAGTGTGCCTAGGATAGGAAAAATGCCTTCAGTTACTGTACATCATGCCAAACTG